CATTCCGGGGGGGGGGGGGGGGGTCGTGCGCATTGTGTGCGTGTGCCATCGTTTATACATCTGGCTCCTAATGTGTCATTGGGTAAGAAAGAGACTGAGTATTGACCCTTAACCGAATTATAAATGATTTACACTCCAATGAAACATATTTAGAATTAACTACAATTACAGGACATAGGAAAGGGATTATCGGGTTAAGATTACCCGCACCGACGCAGCGTCCCACCCACACACAGATGATTCTGAACCAATTAGTTTTTGACCTTGAGGGGATATTTGTAGACAGTGAGGACACTTCGCCAGGTCCTTAGGTCTCCACAGAGGCGTTTATGTTGGGGTGAGGAGCTCAAGACAGAAATACGCAAACAAAGGCCTCACAACTCTATATAAACAGTGTGTGTGAGTTGGCGTTGGCTGGGTGTGTCCCTGTAAAAGCAGCAGGTACTGCCGCACTCCTCGTCTCTGCCTTTGCTGGGAAGACTTCAACCGTCCGGGATGGATCTATTGCTTCTGTTTCTGCTCTCTTTCATCGGTAAGGACACATAAACTGTGTATGAGTTCACTGCACATGTATACTGAGACTTACACGATTTATTTACCTGGATAGGTTTTTTTTTTTTTTTTTTTAGTTTTCATTGTGTGTGCATGTGTTTCTTTGGGAGCAGCGCTATTTAAAAACATACTAAAGTAATCAAACTAATCCCATAGAAACCAAAGCGGATATGAGTAGGGGCCACAGGTACATTTCTTTTCCCGGGCTTGGTCCTGTTCAGTTCCTTGTCCAGGTCATAAAGGCAGCGCAGTTCTAACATCTCTCCATGTTTCTTCTTGTTGCTCCCGTCAGGAGTCTGCGCAGGGCAGGACGTTCTGCCGCCGGGCCCGGTGGACGCAATTGCGGGCGGAAATGTGACTTTTACAACGCAGGTTGGAACACCAGACTACATCGCCATGGTCTGGAATTTCGGCAGCGGCCAACACGTTGCTACTGCGTCTTCCCAAGGTGTGAAAGTGAACACCAAGTACGCGGGGAGGGCGCAGATGGACTCTAAGAACGGCTACCTGACCCTGACATCCCTGGTGTCCGAGGACAGCGGGATTTACACTATCAGCATAGTATTATCTGATGGCACTACTAACGATGGGACGATAGAGCTCCGAGTTCTGAGTGAGTCATTAATAATCTTCCATTATAATTCGGCTACAGGACAATTGTTGGATTAAAAAAGAAAGAGAAATGCTGTTTTAGATTACCTCTATGCCATATTTAACAGTGTCCCATAGTGCTTCTAAAACTGTTGTAGTTATGTATTTGAATGTTTGTAACCAATCTGGGAACCGATGCCACTTTAAATTATATTTAACATATTGGTGTTAGTTGGCAGTTTCCAAATCTAGTTTCTTGGACTGTAGCTACGCCGATTTGACAATTGACTCCTACATATCCACAAAAAGGTGCTTTAGTTAATGATTCCAAGGTAAAACAGCTCCTTAAAAGACTTTCACCTAAACCAATAGATTTTCCAATGCAGTTTGGGGCATGTCAAAGGCGCGACTGCCACGGAGAGCAGGTATCCCTGCTTTTCCAGAAAATCTTGAATGAGCGCTTAATGCGCCGCTTAGCAACCACACACCGGAGCACTATATTCTTCGGCGGAGGAAAACAGATATTATCTTATTATGTGTCTGACGTTTGACTTTCTTTTCATTGTAATTCTCTGTTCCATTTTTGCCTGGTGAGCTGTTGTGAAGTCACTGTAGCCACAGTCGGCCTCTGCCCTTCCAGCGGTAACCCCTCCAGGGGTGAGAAGTTGTGACTTCACTGGCAGATTGAACAGAAATAGTAGCCTCTTGCACTGTGCTGCTTAAAGGCCTGGCTCTCCTACTGTACTTTACTATTGGAGTAACTGGGCGTGTGTGTGTCTAGGTTCAGTTAGTGGCGTTTTGCCCTTTGTGTTTCATGCTGGTGCCAGGCCTCATTGCACAACTGTTGTAAAGCTTTGAAACACAAAGCACACCCACTGTAGCTGTTAGTGCCAGATTATAATTTGATACTAATCCACACTAGATTGTATAGATCCAAGGATTGTGGCAGGTGAGCATTGATACTGAACCCACAGAGAGTTACCAACATCTCTGCAGCCCTACAGAGGAGTGGTTTGGCCTCCTATAGATCCTAGCTTTGGTTTTGTGGTACAGTGACTGTCCATTCAGTTTCCCTGTTTTAAGCTGCAGCAGGCAGCTGTTGTTGCCAGCCTCTGATAAAAGCCAACAAACAGCAGTCACACTGAGAGACTGGAGATCAGTGCAGAGCATTTAGCAGCTCTTTTCCTCAGGAGCTCGTAGAGACCAAAGCCAGAGGTGCAGAAGGACCTCACAGGGACCACTCCTGATGCACGATCGTGTGGCTCTGTGATGGCTGTTGTCGTAGTTAGCTGGCTGCTAGTGTGTTAGTGTACACAGACCCAGCAGTGAGCACACTGTTGTGCTGGCTGACATTTTCCTTCATCGCCATAAACACACACACACACTGTGGCTGATCCTGACTCAGTCATACATCCATCGTCCTGCTGCCGCTAATAATCACGAGAGACCAAATGTGGATTAATCCTCTACTGAAAATAGTCCCCAAGAGATGCACTGTTATCTTGTGTTTGATTGATTGAACTCTACAGTGAGCAGCAGCAACCACTGGACTTTTGTTTAAACATGAAACTATATGTTTGTGAGGTGTTTTTAAAGATTTACACCTTCATTAGGAGCCAAAGAGCTCGGCCAGCGCTGAGAGCCACAGACAGAGCAGAGAAGTCGGAGCGCTGTGGGTCTGCACATCATTCAGTCCAGTCACAAAGGCAGCTGTTGGCATCACTGAAATGTGCAGAGTGTGACTAGGTGATATGAAAACTTTGTTTGTTTGGCTTAACTATTAACTTAAACCTGATTGACTGTAATTTTCATAGGTTACAAGGCCAGATCACAGGTTGATGCTATAGAACCTGCTCTACAAGAGCTGAACTGCAGCTCTGCTCAGTTTGGTGCAGTATAAATGAGGCACAGCAATGCAGCACTATCAGTTTTAACCATTTGGTAAACTTTGGAGAGCCACCTGTGGCACACTCGCCAACCATGGCAGGTTGCATAATGAAACAGTGTGGTACCAGAGCTGGGACCCCCAGGATGGAGACTGTTAATAAGAAACCTCTGTGCAGGAGGTGTTGAGATTTATTAACAGTAGCAGTAAGCATGGAGAGAGCACAGTGGAGCCAACTGCTCTTAAATCAGTGAAAGAGAAGCTCTGACAGGACTCGATGGGTGTACAGTTAGTGCTGGAGAATGTAGAGTAAAGTCAAGATTCAGAGAGACTGTGTGTCGACAGCAAATAAGACGAGGAGCAGAAAATATGATCAAAAATTACCAACAGGGAGAGTCAGAAATAAAGTTGAACAAGGATCCCAGTGGCAACACTTGATGTATTTGTTAACTGGCCTGGTGTGAGCGAGCCTCCTCCAGACCCTCAGACCATGCAGCACAACCTCCTGTGTGTCCCTGCAGAGCCAGTGTCTGACGCGATCATCAAGTCCAACCTGCCTGAGGCCATTGAACACAACAGCACCGTGGTGCTGAACTGCTCTGCTAAAGGCTCTTTCCTCAAGTTCACCTGGACCAACGGCACCACGCCCATCGTGGCTGATGGCAAACGGCTGACACTGGCACAGGTCAGTCTACACATTGTCACTGTGTCAAAACGAGTTTCCATGAAGACGGGTTGAATTTAAACACTGTTTTTAACTTCTGACTCATCCCGGGCCACAGACATTCAGGCTTATAATAGAGATTTTCATCCAGACATGTATTCATTAACTCAGCCTTTAATGCGCAAGTTCACCCAGTCAGTGTGTAAATGTATTTGGTTTAAGTGCATTAACTTCAGCTTAGGAAAGAAAACAGGATGCACTGAGCTTTTCTTATGTCTAGTGGCTGCACAGATTGAGTGCAGAAAACACATGTATAAATGACAGAGTTAACCCTGTAGGTCACTGACCACTAGCAGGGCTGTGGAAGCTTCTATGAGCAGGTCCTTTTTACACAGATTCACTGACAGGTGGTGGCACTGTCCTGACACAGGCAGGGAAGAAGGTTTTATAGAGAAAGATGTGCACACAACAGGTTTGTTAGAGGGCAACCGTGTGTAATGATTCAGTCATTCCTCACCAATTCTGCTGATAACATGTGAACGCTGTGCTTTGGACTTTGTCACAGGAGGGGACATCCAGTATGCTGACTATCACCGATGTCTTCAGGACAGACCTGCTCGGTCCCATTTACTGCACAGCTGCGAACAACCTGCAGATGAACAAGAGCCCCCCCTTCAACCTCACTGTCTACTGTGAGTACTGCACCCACTCTGCTGAGTTCTGCCTGGCAACTCCTCCCATACAGGAATGGACGGGTTTGTACCCACACAGAAGCAGAAGTAGTTGGCTAGCATGCACGGCGGTAGCCCCCACAGTAGAGCAGCACCAGCAGAGACTGATAGAAAACCCATGTGTGTCTGTGCTACATGTTTAGCTAATGACCCAACTACATTTCAATTCATGTAGCTGCTGCTTTCCCTGTAAAGAGCAGACTGCTATGAGCTCAGCACACCACCCCGATGAAGAAGGCACAGCTGACACGATGCAGGCTTTGTAGTGCTGGTGTCGAGGCTTCTGGGTCACGATGCTGCCGTCACCAGAGGTGGAAGTTGTAAGGGTTGACCTCCTGGCCTTGTCTCTACCTCCACCACTGTATACAGGAACCACTTTGGCTTATACTGGGCAGGTTTCTGCTCCCCAGGAGATTTTAATGATCATGTGAGCTTTTCTTTTGTGCCATCCTCTGGACAAACTTTGCACTGTTAGCTCCATGACTATAAAGGCCTCAGGCATATTCATACTGTATATGCAGTTTCTTACCTCCAGTCTTTAAAAAGCGCAGACTGACATTTCAGAGATGTAGTGCTTTTTATCAAGCACATAACATAAACACTGATATGAGGTTTGTTTCTTAAAGAGCTGTGACCAGCGTACATGCTGAGCAGGACACGTCAGTGGTGGACAAACTGTGACTGGCCTCAAGCCTGAGAGTTTACAGTTTGTTCCCACTGACACGCCGACGTCTGCACGGGTACTGATACTTCAGCAGTAAGCTCATTTACCAGACCAGTTTATCAGTCTTGGTCTCCCTTTAATGAGTGAATCACCCTCCTGGCAGTTAAACAGTTTCCCCATTCATTTTTTCTCTCTGAGGCTTCTAAAGTCTTGCATTGTTTGAAAAGCTGCACTTTGTTGAATGAGCTCCACGCCCAGTAGAAAACAAAGAGAGTCAGCCGTGACTCAGTCACCGTGGCTGTCACACCTCAGCGGGTCGTTTATCATAGTTTAATAGTTTCATTGGTTTTTGTACCGTGTGAAACCAAAGTGTGGCCGTTGTGTTCCTGGAGCCGTTACTGTTCAGGCTTTAAGCAGAATGGTCGGCTGCTCGGGTTGAAATGAGCAGATGTGCAGTCTTGTGACCTCTGCAGTTTGGGCTACGGCGTGTGTTTGCAGCGCCCTACCTCTCAGCCTGGACTAAAACCACACTATGTACACAGTGGCCTTCATCTCCTACGCCATGAGTAATGTGAAGGGCGGTGACAGCACGCCGACCGCTGGTTAACCCTGTTATTAATTAATCAAAACCACTAGGGCTCAGCACAGGAGGGCTTATCTGCTCAGGCTGTGACTCACTTCAGAGTAAATCTGACTAGTTAAAGGATGAGCATGAAATCACACCGAAACTGCATGTTGTGAGTTTGTTACTACTAGGATGTAAAAATAGTGCCCTGATAGTGGAGGAACTGTTGCAGGTTGATTAAACTGGAAAATCAGTATTGATAAACTGCAATGAAAGAAGTTTTTTGCTGGACAATATTTTTAATTAAACCTTATTAACAGGTCTGTGTAGTGGTTGTATAGTGAACTGGCTTTATCAGAATTAACAGTTCTTTTATTCCAAACAACATAATGACCATCAAACTCTTTTCTTCTTTTTATCAATATGAAAGTGCTGCAGTAAAGGCTCTGATCCTAATCAGTGGTCAGTGAATACATGTATCAAATCATAGCACACACCACAGAGGTAACAACATCGCTGCCTCGGGTTGACGTGATTCCTCTGCTCGTGTTGTTTTAGACTGAAACAGGTGCCGTCCCCTATAAAAGCAAACTCTGGAGTAACTGTGACTTTACAGCATCACTTTACTGATAAAGATGCTGATGAGGTTGTGTGAAAACAGTGAGCACCCTTGAGCCGAGCACGGTGGACCAGCCATGATGTTTACAACAGTGCTTTTGGATGTGAACACCTCTCCATCTGTTGTTGCTCCAGATGGACCGGATGCTGTCACCATCAGTCCCATGATGACTAAGGAGTTCATCCCATCCAACGCCAACTTCAACCTGTCCTGTTTGACCACATCCAGCCCGAACGCCACCTTCAGCTGGTACCACAGCCAGCAGCTGATAGAGGGGTCGGGCCAGGTCCTCACTCTGGAGGCCATCAAAGCCGCTGGATTAGGGAAACAAAAGGAGGAATACACATGCAGAGCCCAAAATGCCAAGACCCAGCGCACCGTCACCTCCTCTGGTGTCTCCTTCTCTGTGATAGGTGAGTACTGTGGCTGCTGATTACACAGGCTGTGGTTGGAGGCACGAAGTGCAGCGTGGTGCCAGATGTCATCACAGGTCACTTGCTTCACAGCGACTTTTGAATGTCACCATCATATAGTTTTTAAATTGAGGCAGTAAAGAAAAAACGTGAACTGTTAAAGAATCACCTAGAGCTTGATGTGATGGCGTTCCCATGACAGCTGACATCTCCTCCTATGACCTGGTTGGGATTCAGCAACACTCAAGTGAACACTGGTGCAGGCGTCTGTGTTCCTAATGACTTTGGTGATCCTCCGACTTCATGTCGGAGATACTGCCGGGTGCCAGGTTCTGGCCGAGCTGTCTTCTGTGTGTCGAGGGGTGCTGGGTTGTTTTGCAGCAGCCCAGTGTCATGTGCATGTGACGTGACGAGGGTAAACTCGGTTGTTGGCTGTGTGTAATGACACTGTGCTCTGGGTGGCACCTCTCCAGTCAGAGGCTGCAGGGATTTAACGAACCACAGGAGATGCTTCAGTTTAATGTTTAGATAATATTTTTAATGCAGATTTAAACAGTATTTGAATAATATAGTTTACATGTGAAGCATTGTTAGTATCATTAGTATGCTGCTGTTGGTGAAATCATTTGTAAGGTTTCGTTTGTACACACCCGAAAAGCCGAGTCTCTGATCTGCTGGCTCACGTATTTCACATTAAGATACCTCTGGAGCTTCAGCACTGTTGTACAGTATGTACGACAGTGAGCCTCCTGTGAGTTGAACACTGGGACGTTAAAAGCTGAACAGTGCTCAGAGTGATGCAGGGAGCAGGTGCAGGAACCAAAGTGTACTTCACTGTCCTCTAACAGCAGTAGTTCTACAATGATCCACTGAATCAGCTGAATGTGCCATAGTATGTTGCATGTCAACACGTAGCTGAAAACAGGGCGACTGAAACCTTTTCTTGTTCAGTGTCATGCCTCCGAGGCACGAGACTGTTAGACAGGCGCGCAGGCTGCTGGTGACACTGGAGTGACCCACTGTGGCTTCATCACAGCTTTGACCTGGGAGGTCCTGGAAAGTTCAACGTGAACTGTAATTGCTGCCAAGGAATTTATTTAGTTGATTTTGGAGGGTGTTGGCAGTGTACTGTTTGTTTGTTTGCTTGTGTGTGTGTGTGTGTGTGTGAGAAACCTGCTGGACTGGAGGATGGTCTTACACTGAGCCCCGCAGTGTTTCTGCTTTCACAGAGAGGAGGAAGCAGTTTGTAGGAAATTGGAAACCACATGAATGTTTTATTTTGGTGATTGAGTTTGACAAGGTAAATGCATTTATATAGCACATTTTCATACACAACAGCAAATCAAAGTTCTTAGAGTGACAGTGGGTAGGATCCTATGAACTCCATTTGGTTTTGGTTCTCATGTTTCTGCGTCTCAGGTCAATGAACAGAAAATAAACACTGAGTGTCTTACTCCACAGCACTGACACGATACATATGGTCTAATGAAAAGATGGCATTGAGTGGCATTGTGGGAAATGTAGTGTGCACCGTTTCAGGACTAAGAGTCTGAGTGTGTTTCTCTGTGTGGATGGCTCTGTTTTGTCTGTGAGGCTCCAGACTTTGTTGCAAGTCTAAATCACTGATTCTCTGACTTGGAACATGTAGATTTCATCTCCTTTTCAACTCTCTCTTTCATTTTAACCAGGTTTAACCAACTCACTGAATTATGTCTGTGTGCCAGATGCACAGTTTGGTCTGTTGCCAGTGGTTTGAAAGAAATCAAGGATAAAATCATATAGTGCAATAAAAAAATGTCAAAAAGACAAACGTTCTCTTTCCTGATGGTTTTAACAGAGGTCATCTCCGGTGTTAAAGTCACCGGTCCGACCGATATCCTCATCGCCGGCAACAGCTCAGCCAACATCAGCTGCCAGGCGACAGCAGGCACTGTGCAGACCATGATCTGGCTGAAAGACGGCACTGCTCTGGCTCCCAGCTCCCACCGGGTGTTCTCCAACAATCAGAGCTCCCTGCTGATCAGCCCGCTGAGCAGAGAGGACGGGGGCGAGTACACATGTCAGCTGATCAACCCTGTCAGCAGCGGCAAGGCCTCCTACACCATGGTGGTCAACTGTGAGTGTTTTGTTCTGGAAAATGTCATCATCAGGTTTATGCTTTGACGTGTGTTTGTTTCTGCTGCCAGCAGAAAACACCATTATTACAGCTCTCTTTCAGAACTTCATCAAAATACTTTTAAATTCTAGCCACACAGGTGACTTCAGTAATGCTGTAATGATTTGCTTCGCTTATACCGATAATAAAAAAAACAAAACAATAATTGCTCTTTTCTTTCTGTTTTGTGTCCAGATGGTCCCGAAGCAGTGAAGGTGAAGATCGACCGTGATGTGCCGGAGAAACACGACGTGACGCTCACCTGTTTGGTGCTTTCCTTCCCACCCGCTGCCTTGACTTGGAAGTTTAATGGCACAGTCACCGGTACCACAACGGACAAGTACGTCATCAAAGGTGCTGCTGACACAAAAAGTGGGACGTACACATGTGAGGCGTACAACGCCGTCACCGGCAAGACCACCTCAGAAAACACCACCGTCTCCGTCAAACGTAAGATCTATGTGTGAAGCTGTGTGGATGGACAAACGTTAGCGTTCTGCTAGCCAGTGCTACTTAGGTGCTTTTCAATCTAAATGTAAAGATGAACATTTCTTTTCATGTTTACTAAGGCGGACTTAGAACATAACTACTCAGCTGCATTGTGAAGCTAATTCTGTAAACATGGAGTAGTTGACAATTTGACTGAAGTTACATTTAGTGACAGTAAAGACTGCAGAGAACAGAGCCAGTCACCTGGATGACAGCACTACCTGTTTCTTACATCACCTCATGGGTTGAAAGAAACCCGACCAGTTTCTTGCTTGGCAGCCATGTTTTCATTCTTTATGGCTTTAACCTAAGTTTGGTTTGTTAGCAGAACATTTTGTATCCAGCGTTAGACAAACCCCATAAGGTTAAAGCTAATGTTGCTCTTATGGTAAAGGTTACACACATGTTCACTTCAAGTTTTGTTACTATTTTAACCACCCACTGATTCCAGCAAGAGACTTTGGTTTCTTTTTTATGCAGTCAACAAAAAGCTGCCCGTGCCATTCAGAGATATAAATATTCTCAGTTCCCAGTCTCTGTGAAACCAATTTGCCAGACAGGTGATGTGCACACATCTCGTTCGATGTTTGTTTCCTTTTCACACCGAGCAGCAGCAGCGACCTGAATTCTTCTCCTGTTATAATGTGGTTCTCTGTTTCTATTGACTCCTCAAAGTGATGCATCATGTACTGATGACTTCCACAGCAGTTTCTCACCAAATCGCCACCTGCAGTCAGATTTGTGTCCTCTCTGTGATTTCTGCTCCAGTCTGAAGTTGCCCCCACACACGGCAGCAGTTCCCACCAGTGTTCATGCCACATATTTTGCAATAACATTAAAAACTTTTGTTGTTGTTGATTGACTCTGATTGTGATTCCCAGATCACAATCCCAGATTCTCAGATTGCGATTGTAAATGTAAAGAGAACTGATGTGAAAGCACCCCCGTGACAGCAGGAGAGTAACATTATGAATCCCATGTTGTTGTTACAGCCGAGGTGGATAATGGACTCTCAGATGGCGCCATCGCTGGAATTGTCATCGCAGTCATCGTCGCTATGTGTGTCGCCATCGGCTTAATCCTGTACTGCCGACAGAAAGTACCGTAAGTCCTCTGCTCTCTAACGTCTCGATCTGGGCCTGGCTGACAGGCCTTGATTTGATTGATAAAATAGGACTCTACATATCATACTGCATTAGACTTTGTAACAAGGCTCACGCACCCATCACTGCATTTTGAGTCTCTGGGGTTGTCCTCCCTGTATCAGGAGAAAATGTTGCTTTGCATTGTTAGTGTTATTAGGTACCCACTTCTTTCTCTAGTCTTTTATCCTGCCCTACCAGCAGCTACAGCATCCGCCACCTGAATTCTGTTAAATGTCCCAGAATGAACTGGGGCCTTGGTAAAATGGCTCTCTCTTCTGCAGCCTGGCCGCAGACCATTACTCTAGAAAGACTGCCTTCTCTGAATATCTTCAAGGTTCTGAAGGGGACTTGTTGCTGTTTTAGATTACCTTTGACCTGGATCATTTTATGGATAATGTTTTTATGGCCTAGTTACTTTTCATTTTACTGTTTCCACTTGTTTGTGCATTGAACATGTGGCAGTGCTCTGCACTGTGCCGTGGTCATCAGACAGCTGCTGTAGGCAGGCAGGCAGTGCACAGTCAAAGCAGGTGAATAGTGAATTACAGTACATTTGTCAAGGTGAGAGGAACTGAAGGAGCACGTGCACTGGTTTGCTCTGCGTTGATAGTGGGCAGTGGCTTCACTCTGTGGGCTGAACTGTAGGCGTTTATACACTACAGTACGGTGATGTCTTAGAGCTGGAAAACACTAACACCCAGTTTAGTCCTTAACCTGTGCTACTCTATTGTCTTATTAGCTTTATTTAGTGAGATTGAATCAAAGCAGCAGGGTTCCCTATAAGTTCGTGCACTACATGGACGAATTTATGTGCAGATTCTGGCCACGTGTGTTTAGTCACATATGATTTTAAACCAAAGGCATTAACAACAGCCTCCACTCCGCTGGGTAGCAGAGTGACTCCACCAGATGTTGAACCAGCTGCAGGGTCCAACACTGGTGTTGGTGGTCGGGTCTGGATCACAGTTGCATTCCAGTTCAACCCAAAAGTGTTGGATGGGGCAAACGTCAGGTCTCTGTGCAGGACAGTAAAGTTGTCCCACACCAAACTGGGAAACGGTTTCCTTATGACTTTGTGCACAGGGGCAGCGTCATGTTGTAACAGGAAAGAGACGTACACAAAGGCAGAAGAACACTGCTGTGTAAAATAAGTACTAGGTTTCCCCATCAGTGAATTCGAGAAACCCAACCCTGTCCACAAAAAGATGGACCGTGCTTGTCTATAGAGTGTTAGACATCTGTTTCTTCACATGAAAAAGCTTTTCCAGTTGTTTTTTGCTGCTGATTTGTTGTTAATTTCATGCTTCAGTGTAAAAATCTGCACGGTTTAGAAACGTGTGTGTGTGTGTGTGTGTGTGTGTGTGTGTGTGTGTGTGTGTGTGTGTGTGTGTGCTAGCTGACTCTGTATGTCTGGATACATCTCAGTCACGTCAGCCATTTCATGACCTAGGAAATTCTCCTGGTTCCCGTCACATCTCTGTGTCTTGCAACGTGTTTCTCTGACATGCAGTTACACATGCACGTGCACGCACACACACACACACTGCGGGGCTGCCACACCCTTCGCTGCTGCTGCAACAGTAACTGTCACATTTGCAACTGACATTTCTCCACTTTGTTGTGTTGGAAATGTCTCGAAACAGATTCCAGTTACAGAAGGCGTATTTTTTAAATAAATGAAATCAGTCAGCAGTGTCTCCAGCACATTACAGACTACTATGAGGCCTGCTGGCCAGTACGAGGCCTGCAGACCCGTATGACGCCTGCAGTCCTTTGCTAAGCTGAAATGTTTTTGACTTTTGGCAGCTGAATCTCTTCTGTGCTATCAGAAGACGGCACCAACTGTTACTGGAAGGCCTTGTCACATTTTGGTTTGATGGTGGGAGGAAAAATGAAGAAGAAGAAAAAAGACACAGTGAAGTCTTACTAAAGAAAATACGAATGATGTAGACCCTCTTGAACTTCCTCCAGAAGCAGCAGTTGCAACACCCCTGCATGGCACAAACAGCAGCGGTGATGCAACCCTGCTCCACATCCTCTCAGATTTCAAATGCTGACAGGAAGCTGCCATCCTGAAACAAAAAGCCAGCAGACGAATTGGCGACAGATGCAGTCTCTGACATGCAGAGACATTGGCCATTTGAAACCAAGAGTTTCAGAGCCGATTGTCAAAGACATTAAAGCTGCCGGTGAGGGACAAGTTAAGTGAGTTCTTTTCTGCATCTTCTTCCTCTTTCTTGGAAGTCATGCTGGTTGACAGGTGATCCTCCTCCTTGGTTATTCAGCATGTGAAACAGATTTTGTTCAGTGGTTCTGTATCTCCTTTAATCTTTGGCTGTTTTTGCAGCCACGGGGAGAAACTAATGAGCAGGTACACAGCGATGTACAATCCAGACTCAAGGCAGGTGTTTGTCCCTGTTTTAGCACTGTGTGTTATGTGGGGGGACACGAACGTGAAAATAGCTCATTGTAGGCTCTCAGAGCTCCAGGTAGTCGGAGGACTGTCTGACCAACAGTCCAAAAGCTGAACATAATTAGTTTACTAGGATAAAAACTTTATGTAGTATAAACACAGAAAACCAGCACCTCACAGCTGAGAAGCTGAAACAAGTGAATGTTTGCTGTTTGCTTGATGAAGACTCAGCTGACAAATCTGTTAATTTCCTCCCAGCTGACTCATTGATCATCTGAACCTTAACAAGAGGTGCAACAGGAAGTGCCTCAGTCCTGCTGACCTGGAAGTCATTGAGTTACATGGAGATGTTGATGCACAGATGAATCAACCTAAGACCCTCAACAGACAATTACTATCGGCCTCAGATACTCAGCATTTACTTCATTACTGAAACGTTTAGCTGACATTTTTAACACGGAGCTGTTTAGAGGCAGCATGTGATATTTAACGTTGCTGAACAGAGACACAGTCTGCATGAGCGTCCCCTCCCCCCTCGATATCTTCTTTAACAAGCTCTGCTGTTAGTCAGGCAGAACGCCGACAGGGCCGGATGATCACATGACGCCACAGAAGCGTTCAGGTGTCAGGTAGAATGGGCGTGCAGCTGCAGAGCCTCTCATGGGCCCTGGGGCCTCTGACTGTTTGTCTGCCAGTCTCTTCATCATTGTCAGCATTGATGACAGGAGGCCTCCTCCATCGGCCTCCATGCTGGGGGTGGAGCCCTGGTTGAAGGACCCAGACTTGGATAGGGCCAGCTGAAGGCAGAGAGGAACAGGGAAGAGCTGAATTGTTTTGTTGTATTTGATCTTTGACAGTAAGGCATCAGAGTTTGTGCAGCTGAAATAATGAGGTCAAAGAGATGGAGAGACAGGAACTTACACTGTCTCTAGATACAAAGTTATTTACCTGCACACACTCAGTCAGACAGACATCCGGACAGCAGGGGAGTGAAGGGGAGTGTCGAAAGCAGAGATAAAGACACAGGGTGACTTCAGCTGCTGACAAACAGGTATGAGAACCTGTCCTGATGAGGCTGAATTACAGGTGGAGTCTTTGTGTTTCATGTTTCAGCAGCTTTGGAGTTTTACTAGTTATTACTGTGATCTTTCTATAAACATTGTTAGTTTTTCTTACAGTAGAAAAGATGAGTGAATCTGTCCAGTTTAACTTTTGAAATCCTGCACTTCCTCTCTGCTTATTTTTCCTGTTCATTAAAGCTTTTGTCCATTAGAGCTCATGCCTTCTGTCTCACACGTGAACACCACTGTGGGGTTCAGTGTCTCGCTCGAGGCCACTGGTATGTGGACGGGAGGCGTCAGGGAGGGGATGATGAATGGAGGAGTGGATCATTCTTCCTAGCTGCTCCAATCCAGGGAGCTTTTCTTGTTTACACCACAGCCCCCTGATTTGTCCTGTTTATTCATTTTTTGACCCAGGTATGTGTTTTTAGTCTAAATATGTCTGGGTGCTGTTCTTATCAGACTGGGAGCCGAGATTACTCCTGTAGGAGGAGCGGAAGTGGCTCTGAACCTTGTAGCTGCAGCTTTTCTTCTACAAACATGGCTTTTAAAGAAAAACGATCTCACTTCACAACAGTGCCTTTGTCCTTAAGCTCTAAAGCTAAAACCGGTTTTCTTCAGGTTACAATAACACACACATCTCTGTAAGTGCAGCATGGGAGACTGACACAGATACATGCTGAGAAATCAAAATAAAGATCTGGTCCTATGATAGTCAGATTTGAGCCTATAGAGAAGCAGCAGCTACAGGTGCAGGCAGGAAAACCACCTGGATGGAACATGGCAACCCGTGTCCGAGAAAACATGTTGTGAGAGGATTTGGTTGATAGCATCAATAAACAGTCAGGACCTGTATTTATCAGACATACTGTATTGCACTGTCTCTAAGTTCTCTGCAAATTCTTAGCCGACAGTGAAGAACACCACCGAGCAGGAAAGCCACTCATCCATATTTACAGTGATGTGTGGGAGTGAAGAGCAGCTCTCACCTTTATCTACAACATGCGTGATCACGTGTACAGTATCAGGACTCGATGTGTCCTAAGGTGCTTACTGGTGCTGCAGCTAATGGCTGTTTGCATTAGTGGTGAGGAGAGAGACGAGATGTCGGTCACATTAAATTCTGGCTCCTAACACCAGCTCACCTTTCTTATTGGTATGATGAGATGTCCAGTATAACTCCACCCCTCTTCAAGCTGCATGGAGGTGCCACCAGCTACAGAAACTGAAAAACAACCGGGTGGGTGTGCGGTGACGCTTCATTATTCTTCTGCATCAGCTGTGTCATGTGACTGCGGCTGTTTTTAAGAAACCAGAGAAAATGATGTTGTTGATTAGAAATATCAGGACATGACAAACGCAGTATACACAGTGTGTACTTGGCCTGTGCTGGCTATGTAGACTACAGATGCAGCATAGACAACAGCCATATAGGAGCTGTTTGGGGGGTTTGTTTTCAGTGTGTGCAAACAGAAAAACCTTCAGACTGAAATGAGACCTCTTGCTTCTTCACTGAGGAGACACATAGTACGGGAAGTGAGAAAACCATGTCATACACGCATGAGGAAGTGCTGGCCATCAGTATGCTTTCTGTTCTGGCTCTAGCTAGGGTTACCTGCCCACACTCTACACACAGACCTGAACATGGCGGGTAGCTGCCTGCAATTTCATGGTTTCATATGTAAATCCACATTTGAATGACAAACTTCATTCGTTAGGAGAATCCCCGTCTGTCTTGCTGAAACAGTTTCCGTCTTGTTCTCATGTAAACTCACTGACTTTGCCTTCACGTAGGTCATAATTAACATGGTTTAACTCCCAGGCAGCTGCAGCTGTTGGTTTTCTGTAGGAGAGTTTGCTGTTTCAGTCTAGATTTACATACACTGAACAAAATTATAAATGCAAGGGACAATCCATCCACCTCATAGGTGTGGCATATCAAGATGCTGATTAGACAGCTTGATTATTGCACAGGTGTGTCTTAGGCTGGCCACAGTAAAAGAACACTCTAAAATGTGCAGTTTTATCACACAGCACAATGCCACAGATGTCGCAAGTTTTGAGGGAGCGTGCAATTGGCATGCTGACTGCAGGAATGTCCACCAGAGCTGTTGCCCATGAACTGAATGTTCATTTCTCTACCATAAGCTGTCTCCAAAGGCGTTTCAGAGAATTTGGCTGTTACGGCGAACCGTATATGTGTGCTTGTTCGGACTCAGAAAAAGGCAGAACTTGGACTCAGGCTTGACCAGGTAAATGTAATTTACTGACAGAACTGAGAAGTGCTCAGAATCGGTCACGTCAGCAGAGAGTGCTGGGATGACTGGACTGTTAGAGCTACAACCCAAGGTAGTAGGAGAGGCGCAGCTGGCTAAAGAAAAGCAGAGGATGAGAATGAGTAACAGGGATGCTATGGAAATGGCAATACTGATAGGTATACTGAGGACCTGAGGAGCAGAAATTACTGGCTCTAGGCAGGTGAGCTATGAACACAGTCCAGGGGGAGGTGTGGGAGCTGGCATAGGCGATCACTGGTCCGAAGTGCAGTACTACCATCGTGGTGAGGCTCAGGCTCACAGCAGATGACAGAGCAGGTAGAAGGGCAGTGCGATGAAGGCTGACAGTTGAGATCCACAGTAAGACAGTTCAAACAGAAAGCGGCCCTCAAAATTAAGAAGGGCATTTAGTTCCTTAACAAAAGTTCACAGTAAAACAATTCAAACAGAAAGCGACCTTTCAAAAATATGAAGGGCATTTAGTTCTTTAACACATGAAATCAGGTCCCACAACATAGAAGCAGTTCATACACATAGAATCCTTGAAGGAAAGCACAGCACAATTACTCGCAGGATCACAAGAGATCATCTGGCGACGAGGACACATCAACGCTCTCTTTAAGTACTAGTCTGGTAATTGAGAGCAGGTGCGCCTCGCCGCCTAGAATGCATTTCCACCCGTGCGGGGGCGGAGCTACTGTGACAGCCCATGCCAGCTGATGAAGTGCTGGGGGTGGACAGGGCCACGGACGTAACATTGGCAGTACATCCAACCAACCAACGTTGTCCTCATCGGGGTCTCGACCTGACTACAGTTTGTCGTCATAACTGACTTGAGGGGGCAAATGCTCATATTCGATGGCGTCTGGCACTCTGGAGAGGTGTTCTTTTCACGGATGAATCCCAGTTTTCACTGTACAGGGCAGATGGCAGACAGCGTGTATGGCGTCGTGTCGATGAGCAGTTTGCTGATGTCAGTGTTGTGGATCAAGTAGCCCATGGTGACGGTGGGGTTATGGTATGGGCAGGTGTATGTTATGGACAACAAACACAGGTGCATTTTATTGATGGCATTTTGAATGCACAGAGATACTGTGACGAGATCCTGAGGCCCAGTGTTGTGCCATTCATCCACGACCATCACCTCATGTTGCAGCATGATAATGCATGGCCCCATGTTGCAAGGATCTGTACACAATTCCTGGAAGCTGAAAACACCCCAGTTCTTGTATGGCCAGCATACTCACTGAACATGTCACCCACTGAGCATGTTTGGGATGCTCTGGATCGGCGTATATGACCGCGTGTTCCAGTTCCTGCCAATATCCAGCAACTTTGCACAGCCACTTGTTGCACTGTGTGAGGCAAATGGTGGTCACACCAGATACTGTTTTCGGGACCCTCCCCCCAAATACAGTAAAACTGCACATTTTAGAGTGTTCTTTTATTGTGGCCAGCCTAAGGCACACTTGTGCAATAATCAGCATCTTGATATGCCACACCTATGAGGTGGATGGATTATCTCGGCAAAGGAGAAGTGCTCACTAACACAGATTTAGATAGATTTGTGAACAATATTTGAGAGAAATAGGCCTTTTGTGTACATAGAACAAGTCGTAGATCTTTGAGTTCAGCTCATGAAAAATGGGGGCAAACACAAAAGTGTTGCATTTATAATTTTGATCAGTGTATGTATAAATCATCTAATGTAGCCTGCAGATAGCTTGGCAAAGTCGACAGGAGCTGCAGACTCTGCTGCTCCTTCTCTGCAGGTTCACCACTGCCACACACACCTTTCACAGTACGTCTCCTTTAAAGGTAACACCCCATTTTAGATTGAAGTGTTTATGCTTTATGTTAGCTCAGATGCTAACACTAAGCTACCAGCTTCTGATGCAGCAGAGGTGGAGAGTGACAGAGCGGGGGAAGTGAATGAGGGATGGAGACTGTAACAATCATGACAGCTCTGTAAACCACTGGCTTACTCATTAGCAGAGGCAGTATTACTACCACTTTAGTATTGCTGTGTCCCAGATGTTTTTGGGTCAAATGGACCAAATTACTGGGTTTTCTCTGAAAAAAGGAAAGTAACTGTTGTAGAAACACTATAAAATGTCATGCAACAAAAAAGCTTCAGAAACAGGTGAGACCACTAAAAGACTCGCCTGTTCAGGTTGTTTCATGCAGAAGAAAATAAACAGTCTGGATATTATTGCCTGTTAGATGTAACACAGAAGTGTTTGACATGTGAAATCCAGTTGGCCTCGGTTGTGTATCTGAGAACAGGCCGTGTGTTTCCTGAGAGGAGGCTGGTTTCTACTGGTGAGGGTGAGGTTTCAGAGAATGGCAGGAATGTCGCTGTCATGTCTGCACTCGTCTTCTTCTCTTCGTTATCTCTCCTTAACCCTCAAGTTTCTCTTTTATCTTCTCTCATTTTACTCGAGTTTACTTCTGTTGCTGTACCACCCAGGCCACAGGAGCCACTCCTTTTCTGTTACCTCGAATTCTCTGTCGCTCCATTTCACTTCTTTTCATACTGTACAGTTTCACTACCAGTGCACGAACAGTCAGTGTTACAGAATCGTTTCTCTGAGCTGTTTTCAAAAGACAGATGTGCTTGTTGAAGTATGAATGTCAGAGGAACAAGAAAGGGGCTTAAAGTTGCAGGATCAGAATCCACGGCTTGAAGAGTCACACCTCTTGTCTTCTAACCAGAGGTGGGTTTAAAGGGCCACTGTGTATTTTTGAGAAGCAATAACTTGTTTCCTGTTTTCAAATAAAACACATGAATGATACATGGAAATATGGCTGAGGGGGTCAAATAGTTAGTGACTGTGTGCATGTAATGTGCAGCTGTTTTGTTTGTTTTGTGTCACTAAACTCAATGTTATTTTTTTGACTGTTGGCACAAGATCGATCTGAGCATCTTCACCTGGGCTTCAGGGAATAATGATCACTACAGTTTACATTCAGTCGGCTACTGGAGAAAAAAAAAAGAGAATAATTATTGGTTGCAGCCTTACAGTTCTGCTGTGTCTGAGTGATGTGGACACAGTCAGAGGTGATATGAAATAACCAATCAGTGTTCAACCAGATGATGTGACATGAGTGCTATGGAGTGAAGGTTTGGAGGCGTGGGCTGCTGGAGGCCCAGCCCGGCAGTCGGCGCTGCACCTAACACTGGAACGCCTTACACTCCTGGACAAACATGCCACAGTGAGCGTTAGTTTGAAGGAGTGTAAACTTGTGTGACCTTTCACCTTCTTCCTCTGTGGTTTTTCCCACCTAACAGAGAATCTGGGTGTGTGTGATGAGGTTACATCATCCTGAGATGTCAAGAAAATAACAGTGGCGCCTCAGCTGCTCTGTGCTTGTCTCTGAGTTTATCTCAGGTTAAATAAACTGTGTATTACTTACATCTGACCTTGATTATCTTCATGTTGGAGCCATATGAAACCATAAACCATGTCGCTGTAGCTGATACCACACGTTGTGTCAGTGTCGTTGTACTCATCCTTGTTCTGTGTTTTCTGTCCAGGGTCGAGTCACCGTACTAAAGACGTCTCTGCCCGCTGCTGGTGAGTCTCTCTTCACAATGTCCTATCTGTAGATACACGTTCATACAGACAGTACTACAGTACAGGGTCCTGCAGGCAGAACAGCAGATGGTAAAGACAGAAATCACTGTTTATTGAAAAAGCAGAGATGTGCTGTTTCTGATAAAGCTGTTGATTTAAGAGAATAATGGAGGTGACGAGTTCATTTCCATATCAGAGTAGCAAGATTAGCACTGTTACAAGGCTGTAGTTTCACAGTCACAGACTGTTCGACATTTTAACAGATGCCTGGCAGCCAGTCGGAAGGGAGAGCCCGTTGCTTAATCTGGTCTCAGTGTCCCTGAGGGCCAGTGATACTGATGCTGTTCATGTGTGTGCTATCCGTGCATGTGTGTGTGTTTCCTCAAGTCGGCCAGTCAGTGTTGAAACGGTAGCTACCGAGACCGTCTCCACTCAGTTGAGTAAACAAGGCCTGGAGGGGTGTGTGCACTGAAGCAGGGTCACACTGAGGCATCACGTGTTGAGTGAGTGCAGCCCTGCAGCTGTTTACTGAGCAGCTTAGACTCTTCTTTGAAGCCCGACACCTGTTGACAGATGAGCCTAGAATCAGAAACTAGATGACAAACAACACGTGGCACTGAAACGCTGAAGATAAGATGGACTTTATCAGCGTACTTAGCAGGATACATACAATATGTGCATACATGTAAAATAAAGGGAGATTTAAACCTTTTTGTGAGATATTATCCCACTGAGCTCGTCACATTCCTGTAATGTTGCATAGCAGCTTTCTGCTCACAGAATACCCATAAAAACGTGTAGCTCCTGCACAAACAAGCCCCAGAAACATTCTTTTGACTGTCCTCACAGCAACTGAAACTCTCAGCTCTGACAAACCTTTGAACGTGCATCATAAAAACTATTTGCTTAATTATAATTAAAAACAAACATTCGCTGGTTCTCATCCAAACTGAGGACAGTGAAACAAACGTGTTGAATACACTGTGATCAGTGAGCACGTCCTCAGTGTTGTTGCTGGGTTTGTGTAGCAGCAAAATGTCATCAGAAAATTAGGTTTGCCTGCGTGAGATGCAAATGAAACGGGGGCACACATTCAAACGTTGCTCCACAGCTGCACCAGTTGTAAAATGGTAAATCTGACTGATGCGGGACACCTGTAAACACTGACAAATCTCTCTGGTAACTTTTTCTTCTCCTTCTTTAGGAGGTGTCGACCCAAACATCTGACCATTTTGTTTCCAATGATCCATCTGTGCAGCTGAAAGAGCGTCCAAGTTTCCTATGAAGCCCTCACCAAACTAGTTTTCCCATCATCCCCCTCTCTCTCTGGCTGATGAGGACAATGGAGACATGATGGAAGAATCCTGTCACTGTTCGGATGATTAGCCTGAATATTCACTCGTTTTTATCTCACTTTTTAAACATTTTTGGAGCTTTGTTCGCCCTCTGCTGCAGTACGACCCCACCCACCGCCTTGTTCACCCTCTGCTGCAGTACGACCCCGCCCACCGCCTTGCTCGCCCTCTGCTGCAGTACGACCCCGCCCACTGCCACTCGACCATCTCCTGTCCCTCCTGCTCTTGCAGCTGCTGCTAACAAATGCCATCCTTCAGCTTTTGTCTGGTTTCACCACTAAAAATGAGGAGGAACTGTGCGATGGAGATGTTTCCTGGACTCGAGCAGACTGTTATGATGAGTGATTGTCTTTATCCTGCTGGAAACCTGAGAAGCACACATACACACACACACACCAAGCTGCTGCAGTGTCTTGGTGATCACACACACACAGAGGCCACACATGCAGACGTTCGGGGTTAAAATATGTGAAAAATGTTGTTGTTTTATCTCTGTCGGTGCCAGGCGGGTGGGGTTTGCCTTTGCTTTGAGTGCAGCGAAGGGTGTTTGCTTCTTGGTGCTCGACAGCGATAACGGAGATCAGGTTGATCTCAAATACCTCGGTTTGTTCGGTGCTCTGTGTAGGACGTTTTCTGACACACCTGGAAACATGTCGCCAGTTGTGTTTTTACTGAGGTTAATACAAAACTTTACTAGCATTTCCACCCTGTTTCTTTCTCTTCACCACATCCAGCACAAACGTTCACCTCTACTCAGCTGCAAAACACCGCCGCCTCTGTTGGTTGTGGCACTGCAGTAATTCAGAACAAATGTATAACATATATAACAATAACAACCAGTCATATTTATTAATATAGTGATTTGTAAAAAAAAGGTGACAGTGTGAAACTAAAACAAAGGTAAAGAAATGAAGAGTAAAATACATTTTTATATAGAGAACAAGATGGCTTACATGATCAGTTAACTAGAAAACAAAGAGTTATAACAGTAAAAATACCTTGTTGGGTTTTTAAAAGCAGGATCATAAAAGGTGGTTGTAGTAAAGAAAACCATGAGTGTGTAAGTTTTGGCTCTTGCACACAACCACTGACCAAAAGCAGAACATGTCTGTGGACAGTTTGACCCAGGTTAGTTTCACCGGTGCAGTTACAAACGAGCAGTTTGTTTAAAAACCATCAGTGTGCACGTTCGGCCTCATCTCAGTAACTATCATATTGTTTGTTCTTTATAGAATGAACCAATAACGCAAAACATACTAATATTACTGATAAAGAGGGAAATGTTTAGACTGATATTTATCAAGACAGGACAAGTATTTTAATTATAGGTTGTGTGTGCATGTACGTTATATCTCAGCTACTGTAATATATAGGTGTCAGATTTAAACATTGGCAGCACAGTGGTACGGTGGTTAGCACTGTCTCCTCACAGCAAGAAGGTTTGAGCCCCGGCCACCCCAGCGCCTTTCTGTGTGGAGTCTGCATGTTCTTCCTGTGCCTGGGTTCTCTCCGGGTACTCCGGGTTCCTTCCACAGTCCAAAGACATGCAACTTAGGTTGACTGGCAACTCTAAATCACCCATAGGAGTGAGTGTGGTTGTTTGTCTACATGTCAGCCCTGTGACCTGTCCAGGGTGGACCCCGCCTCTCACCCAAAGTCAGCTGGGATTGGCTCCAGCCCCTCATGACCCTCATTAGGAATAAACAGTTTAGATAATGGATGATTAAAGCTTATATCAGCTGATATATTTTTATGTGTGGAAAACACACACAAACTCTCTCCAGGCGAGTTGACTTCCATGGTGATTCTGGCTGTCTTCCAGCTTCTCCTTTCTTTTTTTTTTTTTACCCCCCGATCATCTGTGTTTCAGTCATCTCATGTTATCTTCAGTGGAAACGGGTGTTAAGGCGGCACAGACAAGATCCAGCATGCAGGGACGAGTTGGTGTGGTGAAGGTGAAGGAGGAAAAAATGCAAAGGCGGGAAGGTGTTTGTGAGCAGCGACATTTGAGTTTTGGCGGGAATGTTTGGGCTTCAGGACGGACAAGCAAGCAGTCATCTGTAACAGTAATCACACCACTGTCTGTATTATTTCAAATCCAGCTTTTAGCCAGGTCACACTGTCCTGAGTATTCTGCCTTCAGACCTCAGCTGGTTTGTCCTGCACCTTGAGGTTTGCTGGTGGCTTAGTTTGTTTGTGTGGTCAGTGGCTGTGTGTGATCTCAGACTTCAACATGCACTGATCTCCAGTGAGAAAAGTATTTATTTTGTTTAGTTAAAAAGCTTAATAACTGGAGCTGAAGATCACAGCTGGTCTGCAGATCACACATTCTAATGATCATTAGTTTTTTCAGTTTGTCTGTCTTCAGAACTCACTCACACCAGACTTCATAGAGTCTAAAAACAATGCATCATTTTGGACATATGTGTGCCTCCGGTTTGGTACAACACAGCACCAAATGTAGAAATAACAATGTGTAGAAATGCTTGTCGTCTTGAACAAGATGCTTTAAATGAAAAATGACAGTAGCTTTAAAGTGAAACTGCCCTCACTGTAAATAATAGTTAGATCTTCTACACTGTCAGCAGTTTTTGTGGCATTGTTTGGATTGTGTATGGGGTTTTATTTCTTATCAGGATGTAATATTTTCAGAGGTTGTATTGTAATAATGTTTACAGAAAATGTGCGATCCTCCCAAAGGTTCCTGTACAACTCTCACACCATAAAAAAAATGTTGTCTTGGTGAAATTCGTCCCAACTGACCAGCCTTGTAGAGTCATAAAAGATTTGGAGGTATTTTCCTAATTTTGCTCCGTCTATTGTGTTTTTACTTTTGTTTGTTTTCCACTGTGAAACTGGAAGCAACAGTTTTCTTGGAACACGTGGGCCGACTGTGTGCGGTGGTGATCCGCAGCTGGGGGGTTTCTCTCTGTCTCCTCAGCTGCCACACCTCGTCTCCTTTACACACACTGTGAAACCATCTGCCTTAACAAGTTACAGTCTCAGTTTCACCCTGCAGGACTTTCGTCTTCACAGTCAGTGAAGACCAGGGACTGTGTGCCACACAGTGCTCAGCCCCACCCCTCCTCAGGCTCCTAGCAGCTTGAGGCAGCTGCATCTGAGTTACTGCTGATACAGAGCACAAGGTGACAGTCAGATTTGTAATGGGCTGCAGCCACTAGTTGGATGTGCTCATCAAGCAGATGAGGATGGGCTTTATGTTGAAACAGTTGCTGCAGCTTGATAGAGAGTAACTTAATATACTGGCTTTTCTGAAGCTGCTGCAGTGACGCTCAGGTTTTACAACAGGACCCATGGCGCGCTTCTTTAGCATTTAGACGCAGTCTGTGCCTGTGACTTCTACTGTCAACATGGATCCTGTGCTGGGTGACCGGCATCACTCACATCAAATGACAAGATGCTCCCTAAGGCGTCGTGTGCTGCAGTGAAGGGGGCCACAGCCGAAGCTAAAGAAATGCTGCATCACTAAATCAGGGGTGTCTCAGGATCCATCGGGTCTGTTTCATTAAAGTTGGTGCTTTCAGTTCTGATGTACGTGTGCTCATTGGTCTGATACCAGCCCAGGTACAGTATCAGCTGGAGACTATTTGACTTTTTGTTGATGGCCCTCACACCCACACCTTTCTGTCTTTATGAGGACGCTCACCGACATAAGGCATCCCCAACCCTAAACCTGGATCTAAGCTGAACCCTCAGACAGCATTTTAAAGGTTTGAGGACCGGATGTCCTCAAAGCGAGGCCTCGGATCTAAATTTTCTCCTACATCCACAGACATGTACACACACATGCACACATGCTCATCAATGGTGTGATGTGTGGCCCTATTTTAATTTTTTTTTTTTACTTTTCTGTAGTTCATAGTGGTGTTCATATTTAACTCGGCTCATTCACATGTTCAAACAAAGAAGACTAAATACACTGTAAAAATGTCTGTCAAAACCTCTTGCCTCATTTTGTTTAATCCTCATTTCTCTGTGGAAGACATCTCCTATAAATACCTCAATGGATAAAGAGACACCACATAAGCAGCACAAAAAGCATAGAAACATCACTTGGTGGCCTCATGTTAACCCACTAAACCCTTTTAAAACAAGTTTTTCAAGCTACAGTATTTCATTATGAACAAATAACTCGCCATGATTTAATAGCAGGTACTAGACAGATAAGGATTGGAGGGGGTTTCTCAAGTGTTTTTGAACAGAAACTGATAAAGGACAAATCAGTCTGAATCATCTGTGGAAAAGTAGAGTCCTACAGTTTCTCCTGTGGCTGTGTTCAGTGACACACTGCTGCCACCCGGTGGAGATCTGGGGAACTAACTGTCCCACCTGTAGGAAGAACAGATCTTTGACTAGTAATAGTAATCCCACAGTGTACAAATACTCAGTCACAAGTTAAAATCCTGCATTCAAAATGTTACTTAAAAGTACAAAAGTATTGGCATCAAAATATACTTGAAGTAGCAAAAATAACTAGTCCTTCAGCAGAATGGCACATTTCCCATTAATGTCTGTGATGTTATTGAATTGTACTGGCTGATGCATTATTGTGTCCATCACTTTAATGTTGCAGCTGGTGAAGGTGGAGCTGATGTTAATACACTGATGGATAGTAATCTCAATCTGAAAAACAACTTTAGTGCATTATAAATATAATATTTCCCTCTAATTGTAGTGGAGTAAAAGTGTGTGGACCTTAAACAGCTACTGGAGAAGAGGAGGAGCCGGACACCAAAGCTGCCTTTTCTGTGCTCAAGGGAGCCGTTCTTCACACCCAGCTGGGGAACACACAAACAGATCCCACTATATCCAGTCCACCCAGAGGGGCATTCTGGGAGACCCCACCAACAGTCTCTTCCCTTTGGCATTATGGGGGATCCTGAGAGGGGTGTCTCTG